ATGCAGAGGTATTCTTTGCAGAATGAGATGGTGCATTGTCATGCATGAAGATGATTGTATTACGGAAAGAATAGTTCTTCCTTCTGTACCAGGGAAGAAAGTGGTCAGTCATAAACTCCACATACTTTGCAGAGGTCATCTTTACACCTTCGGGGACCCTAAAGGGGCTGGCCAGCTCTGTTCCCATGATTCCAGCCCAAAATATGACTCCACCACCGCCTTGCTGACGTCGCAGCCTTGTTGAAACAGGGTGGCCGTCCACCAACCATCCACTACTCTATCCATCTTGACCATTCAGGGTTGCACAGCACTTATCAGTGAACAGGACTGTTTGAAAATTAGTCTTCATGTATTTTTCTGCCCAATGCAGCCGTTTCTGCTTGTGAGCATTGGTTATTGGTGGCCGATTAGAAGGTTTATGCACAGTTGCAAGACTCTGGAGGACTCTACACCTTGATGACCATGGGACTCCAGAGGCACCAACAACTTCAAATATCTGTTTGCTGCTATGTAATGGTATTTTAGCAGCTGCTCTCTTGATCCAATGCATGGATCTGGAAGAAATCTTCCTCAATGTGCCTTTATCTGCACGAACCCGTCTGTGATCTGAATCAGCCAAAAATCTCTTAATAGTGCGATGAGCACACTTAAGTTTTCGTGAAATATCTAATGTTTTCATACCTCGTCCATACCGATGTTTTGTTTTTCAGGAAATACTTGAAGTTGCGATATGCAGTCAGGCGCAATGCACTGCTCTTGTTACTCTTGAGTTTGACCCTATCAAAAGACTGCTAACCTTGAGCATTATGGGGAAACAGATATCCTCTTTATACCTTAGACTTTCCCTGGCCTATGCTATCACCTCATTTCCAGAAATGGCACGTTGATCTCCAAGCCATGGATGAGGAAGACTGGGATACCTGTATGAGCTACTACGTCACCACTACGATTTCAAGGTTTATTCAGCTAAAATTTCTTTATAGGGCCTATTTTTTACGCAGTTAGCTATTATATCTCCTTTGGCTGATCCTTCCTGTATATGCTGTCACTCCTTTGTAGGAGAAGTGGTCATGTCCCTCTGTTCAGCCCTTTTGAATGGTAGTGGTGGCTGAACGTAAAAGAATAAGTGGGGTTCGGCTAACCAGCTTGATGGGGCCACATTGTTCAAATATGCTCCTGAATTTCTGTCAATATTTTAACAGGAATGTTTGTTTTCTGATTATATGTACTCTAGTTGTTACTGACTGTCCATGTGGTTAGATTGGCCTGTGCCTACATCTCCTCTATTGACTATCTGTAAAGATTTTGCACGCTGCATTCTTGCTATACTTACTATATGTACTGTGCTATATTTTTTTCAGCAAAATGTTCTACCTTTAAAAGATGCATGCTCAATAATGTGGTAAAAAAAAAAAACCCATAATGCATAACCTAAAACTCACATACAGTATGTATACAGAGAGAAATCAAATGATAAAAAAAAAATGTTTTTACTGAGCAAACATGAGTGGTAAAGGCTGATAAATGTTAATATGTACAGATAATGATCAGGGATATGAAATATTATTGGAGAGCTAACACATTTTAGAGATAATAAGTCATGGCACGCTTTACAGCAAAATATGAGCTGGTAATAGTGAAAGTCCTTTTGGAATGTCTATATATCTTTGATCATAGCCTTGAAAGAAAACAGGTTGTCATAATACACCTAGAAGTGTGTAGGTCTGGATTATATTTTTACAAACATTTTAACAACACAGTCATGATCCAGTCAGGAAAAGATAATCCAGGATACACATGACATTTTAGCAATTCAGTGTCAACTAGAGACCAAATATTTGATTTGTGTACTTGTGCAGCAGGGACACAACACTTACTATACAATCTAGAGCAGCCTTTCTCAACCATGCTACCTTGGAACTCTAGGGGTCTTTCAGAGGTTGCTTGGGGTTCTTTGATCAATGTGCAGTTTCTGCCTCTCAGATAAGTAACAACCAATACCAGTGATCTTTTTATTTATCCCTCTGACCACAAATGGGAATTATAGGCAAGGACGTTCAGCATGTCTATTTTGGCTGAAAAAAAAAACCTCTTTAAATGAAGCGACAGTTACTGCAGAACTTAGTGAAAGATAGGTCTCTACCAGGTAGTGACCTACAGGCCCAAAATTAGACAGGGTATGGGGTGCCACATCCCAAGTACTTGATACAAATATACAGTATATTATACTGCAAAAATATACTCCCTATTCTATTGTCACTTTTGATATTTGCTATAAGGGTCAATTATTTATGCATACAGTATATAATGCAAATAAGGAATTCATCATGGCACTAGCTGATGCATACCTTTATTATTTAGCAGGACAGTCGGAGCATCTACACGCTTGGGTGTTACCAGATCTGCCATGTGGAGTAGAGGTCCACTTTGCCTTGGTCGTACAGTTGGATCAGCTACTGATTTGCCGTGAGGCCAATCATCCCACTTACCTAGAGTTAAGCTACCTATTTTAACACTGGCAAGGTTGAAATGGAAGGAGGATAAGATCGCTTCATACGATGACACCCTCTGGAACTACCTCTCTGATATAATCCCATTTTAGCTTAGCTACACACCTTACTAGATTCTATGATTTGGAAACAGCGGGCCTGTTCACTCTCTGACATTTAAAATAATATATATATATATATATATATAAAATATAAATAATAGGGACAAACATACCTTTGATTCCTTATGTACACACTGTAACTTACCCCATACGTTTCTTCTTTAAATGTACCTACAACTGCGGCATACATTACATGCCCTGTTTGAGCCACAAAGTCCTAATTTTCTAATTATTCCCTTATTCGTATGCTATGGTTTCAGGGCCCTAGGGGTTTACTCTCCATGCTATATTCTCACTTATTACATTCTAAACTAGGCAAAACACCACTGCAGGTTAAAGCTAAATGATAATCTTTCTTTCCAGCTATGGCAGAGTGGGAGGTGGCTTCTTCATCACATTTAGTAGTGTCCCCTGCAGTCAACAATAAACTGATTCAACTTTCTAATTTCCATCAGACCTATCTTGCCCCAACTTGCCTGTTTGCTATGGGACATATACCCACCTCTAACTGCTAGCACTGTGAGCAACCTAGTGCCGAGTTTACCCATTTGATGTGGGCTTGTCCAGTAATAATAACTCACCACTGGAAAGAAGTTATACACTTGCTTTCTTCCCTACTCTTCAATTCCATTTGTTCCAGAGGTTTGTCTATTGGAGCTTCTTGAAGAGAAGCTCTGGCCCAGGTATGTTTTAATTCTCCGGCAGGAAACACTACTTTAGCGATTAAATAGATTGTGCTTATGTGGATGCAGTGGATTTTTGCAGTTGATTAAATTCTACCTTATGAGAAAGTCATATATGAACACTTACTTTACCTGGTGTAACTAAACCTACGCTCAAAATGTCAACGAGCTATGATTACGCATATTCTTACTTAGGCTCGATTGTGTGATATACTAGACTTGCTTCTCTTTGCTGTAAGAATAGCTTTTTTTTTACCTTACATGTGATACTGTATACAAGGAGATAATCTTTGTTACATATATATTGGTGATACATGATATATTGGTTTTGTTATTACACTATTATGCAATAAATTGTCATAAAAAGGTTTCTTGAAAAAGAATGTAAACCCAACATTTCATATTCCTGATATGTGCCTGCTAAGCCATGTACCTGTATGAAAAAGTATCCTGTTCTCTTTGTATTGCTTCCTTTGTGTGAAATCCCTGGTGCTCCTGCCAGTCCCTCTGCTTTCCTAATAAAAACTGACTACACTAGGCATGACAGCAAAGCGTGGTCAGTTCTCTAGCTATGCTGGGAACTCAGTCTGCTCTCCTCCATCGATCAGGCTTCTGCTAATTTCTTGCTCTGGGGCAAAGACATTTTTCTCTGTTTGTTATTGTACTGTCTGGGCTGCAGCCCCACCCTCCCCACTTCCTATCTCACAGGAGACACAGCAGCAGCAGAAGCAATAGGCCAATTCCTGTGAGCAGTGAGGGGGATGGAGCTTACCAGCATGCTGAACGTCTATGAACACACACAGCCCATGTTGGAATCGCGTCCCATGGGTGCCCCCTCGGAAAAAAAGCCACAAAAAGGAGGAATGGAGAGCACCAGCGTGGGACTCCAGAAGAGGAAATAAGAGTAGGTTTAGTATAACATATCTTTTTAAATTAATGGGAAAATTATCCATTACAATCAATTTAAGGGAAAAATTACAACTGGAATCATAAAACAAGTAAATCATTTTGCTCAATGGAAGGCAACGCATTTTGTCTTGCTAAAGAAGTATTTCAGGGCATTTTTTTTTTTTGGGGGGGGGGGGTAATATCAGTGTGTTGGCTACCGGCAGAAGTTGACTTTTTAATCAACAGACTTTCATTCTCATAACTCCCCATACAAGTCAAGCATTAGACTGCAAAACCAGCTTAAAGCAGGTTGATACAGTTGATTTGAGGAGTAAAAACACACAACAGAATGAGGCTTTAGGTAAAATGCTACTGTTAATGAACTGTGAATGATCTCTGAAATATCTAAAACTGGTCTCAAACGCAAGAAGAATAAATCTGAAAACAAGCTGCAGTTGACCATCGACACAAGCAAATCGCTCTCTCATTTTGGATTTATAATGCAAGTGATTGGTTCTACTACATTGATTGCATAAATGGAATAACATAGTGAAGAGGAATATGTGAAGCTGTGAGATGATTATATTGCTAAACTGGCACTCTGTATGGATTAACTTTTTGGAGATCTTTTCAAGCAAACATATACTGTTTCGAAAAAGCATGTAATTTGATGCCCCCTCCTAATTTAGAACAACAATAGCACACTAGAATTAGATTTGTAGTGCTACATTAGTGTTTTTATAATGTGGTAACATTTATTTGTATGTGACTGCTGATTTTTTTTTCTTTTTCTGGAACTTTAATTCAATTTCACTTACTTCAATATCCCAAATTGGAGGCATCTGGGAGCAATAGAAAATTTTCATACGTTCAGTCACAGGAGGGTTTTTTTCTTCAAATTGTTCTGCTAGGGCCTAGAAAATAAAATAAGATCATTTTTTTTTTACATGAAATACAAAAAAACCTAAATGGCAGATTCTCCCATTCTCACTCTTGTGTATTAAAACCGATATTTTCATGTGCTTTATTTTGGTTTTTAATATTCTAACTTTATAAGTTAACACATCCTGATGCATTTTTAAGCACTTTAATTGACATGCAGTAAAACTAATACATGCATTTTTATAACACAACAGTGCAAATGGGCAATTCAAGTATTTTTTAAGAACTTAAACAGTACGTAATATAAGAAAAGTCCATTTTGTTCTGCCCCGCTACTAACAAGATTTGGCTGGGCTGGAACAGACAGAATAGAAGAAAAAAAACTTTAAAGGATAACTAAACCCAAGAAAAAAAAATCGTAATATATACCTAATCGTCATGTATTGAAGGTAAACAAAGGCACACAAGTTTGAAGTCCAGCCTGGGTGGCAAATATGACTTCCTCTATAGATAAAGTGAAGGAGTTTAAAATTAAGGGAAAGAAGTATGTTAATGGCATGATTACCAAATGAAGATTAGCAACATGAAGCCTAAAAAAAGAAAACGTATGCAGACACCTCAACTGAGGATGAGTAAGCTGCACTTTGATAAATTTTTTTGGGGGGTTTAGATATGGTTTATGTCCTTATCTTTTCCTATCTCAATTTTACCCCTGGAATCACACACATAATGGAAAAGAGATGAGGCAGAGCACCAATGTTAAGACATATAGACCCTAACTAAATATTTCCTCAGTTTTGCCAGCTAATATACAGTATATACACTATATTGCCAAAAGTATTGTGAAGCCTGCCTTTACACACACATGAACTATATTGGCATCCCAGACTTAGTCCGTAGGGTTCAATATTGAGTTCGCCCACCCATTGCAGTTATAACAGCTTCAACTCTTCTGGGAAGGCTGTCCACAAGGTTTAGGAGTGTGTCTATGGGAATGTTTACCATTCTTCCAGAGTGCATTTGTGAGTTTAAACACTGATGTTGGATGAGAAGGCCTAGCTCACAATGCTCTAATTTATCCCAAAGGTGTTCTCTCGGGGCCAGGACTGTGCAAGCCAGTCAAGTTCCTCCACCCCAAACTTGCTCACCTATGTCTTTATGGATCTTGCTTTGTGCACTGGTGTGCAGTCATGTTGGAATAGGAAGGGGCCATCTCCAAACTGTTCCCACAACGTTGGGAGAATGAAATTGTCCAAAATTTCTTGGTATGCTGAAGCCTTAAGAGTTCCCTTCACTGGAACTAAAGAGCAAAGCCCAACCCCTAAAAAACAACCCCACACCATAATTCCCCCTCCAACAAACTTTACACTTGGCACAATGTAGTCAGGCAAGTACTGTTCTCCTGGCAACTGCCAAACTCAAACACATCCATCGGATTGCCAGAGAAGCGTGATTCGATACTCCGGATAACATGCCTACACTGCTGCAGAGTCCAGTGGTGGCATGCTTTACACCGCTGCATATGACGCTTTGCATTACACTTGGTGATGTAAGGCTTGGATGCAGCTGCTCGGCCATAGAAACCCATTCCATGAAGCTCTCTACACACTGTTGTTGTGCTAATCTGAAGGCCACAAAAAGTTTGGAGGTCTTTATTGGGGTGTCCCAATACTTTTAGTAATATAGTGTAGGTGTTATTGTAGATGTTCACAAAGGATGGTTTTGTAGTTTTCAACAGCAAAACACAATGAATGCAGCGTGCTAGCCTAAAATCAACCTCCAAAACATCTAGTATATATGTCTGGACATCAACACATGCTAATTTTAATACTGTATATAGAATTCCTTAATATGACATTAAGCCAGTTGTCTGAACCCCACTAAATGACAGCTATCAATAAATAAGCAATTCTCTGTTTATAAGGTATGTGCAGTAGTGACATGAACGTTCTGGGATGCAATAACTGAAATATGTATGGCCAGCTTTAAAGACCAACCAGCTAGACTTCTACACTGTTAAAGAGCAATGCCAGACAACAAAATCAGTCAATGACCTACCTATATTATACAGGAATTATGTACTCTAACGAAGCCAAAACTCAGAACACTTCACAGGGTCACTGATGTGTATTTTCTGAAGCGAGGGTTGTGTAATTCCCCTCTCCTCCCTACAACAGATTAGGTTTTGGATTGAATCATAAAGGGTTGAAACCCACAGCTAAGTTTTTATTGCTGCCTGTGTCCCCAAGTGAGAGACTCACTTCACTATTTGTGCTGGTGACCACTGGTGCCAAAACAGAAAGTGAGAGAAAATGCAAAATTTTAGAGTTGTCGCCATTGCAAATGGTGAGGGTAAAGAGCAGACACCTGTTCCGATGACAACTAAGATGAAAATTCATTAACTTTAGGGAGATTTCCTCTCACTCATTCCCTGTTGCATGTCTAAGACAGGAAGTGAAAGGAAAATCGGCACAGAAAGACAGAAAAAAAACATAATAAATTTTAACCCTACCTTACTGTATCCAAAATGAAAAACACTATATACTATATATACACTTTAAGATGTAGGTTTACTGTTTGACTGCAGCGTACCTTTAGGAATATCTCTGCAGAGAAATAAGGTGTCACATTTATGTGAGCTTATCCTTTATGATCAAAGGATCAAAGTGAGGCTCTTAATAATAACAGTCATTGAACCTTGTTATAGCATCACAGTGTCATTGTATCCAGAAATGCAGATTTTCCCCTATTATATGATTCTTTAATTGTGGAGGAATAATTTTTTTCACACACTCCTACCAATAACTTGTATAGAGAGGAGGAAACAATTCTGACATTACTTCTTCATCAAGCTGAGAACCCTGACATAAAACCAGTCAGAACAAATTGAGCTATAACTAGACTGTGAAGTAACACAAGTGGTCGGAGTAGCTCTTGTACAGTCTGACTTTACATCATGGAATCCGACATTTATGAAAGGGAGCCGGCTTGCCTCTGCTATTTCCTCCACCTCTGAACAAATCCCTGAGTGATACCATATGTTTGTAATACACCACATAAAGGCAATTAAAAAGTCATCATGGAGCCGGCACTGAAAGGTAATGCATTATCGAGCCTTTAATTGTCTTACTCAAACAGGAAAAATGTGCAGATGTTAGAGCAGTACCTCCAGAACAGCACAGGAGAAATGAGATGTATTTCCAGCATTATAAACCAGGTCTGTACTGTTTATTATGTGCTAAAACAATGAGCACACAACCAAGATATTATTCTAATCACTACCGGTTCCACACTTCAGGCAATAAAACCTAAGCGGGAAAGCCTCTAGCAATTTACAAGTAAATTTTGTTTTGTGGTTATAGATAATATCTAAGAGGGGAACATGAAAGTTTTCATGCATACTGTAGATTGTTAGTGCAAAGCTCCTAAATCTTGGGAAATATGAGTTGGCTCATTTTGGTATTCCACTGAGGCTTTTCAGAATCTCTCTCTCACATATTGTTATTATGTCTGATGCTTTAAAACTCTGTGGTGTTGTTTTTTTTCCTCAGTAATACACATTTTATTATATACACAATAAATTAAATAGAACAAATTATCAGTTCAATAATCCCAACAGTACACTTCTAGCTAACTATGTACTTTTGTGCCGCCCTATTACTAAAACCCACACACCTCTGCCCAGGGGCTCAAAGTCCTAGTAAGGTGAAAGTAAGCAGGGTTTGACAAATCCCAGGGCCAGGTCACCATAATGACTAGAAATTTCATCCTGGCACCTGGACTTTTGTCAGCCGCCCCCTTCCAGGCACCGGGATGCCACTTTACTGATCCAGGGATTTAAAATCCCTGTGGCTTAAGCTCCTATCCGTACCGCTCAGTGTATGGAGAATAGGCATTCTAATTGGTCAGCACCATCACATGAACGGTGCTGACCAATCAGAATCCGTCTAGCCCGTTATGTCTGTGCTGGCAGGAGAGGAGAGAAAGCGGCGTCCCAGTGCCTAACAGCAGGGGATCGTGGGACGCTGGTACACCAGGACCGGGGTGATGGGGAGGGAGGTCCAGTGAAGGGTTAGATTTTCTGTAAAGGTGAACTTATATTTTCAATGTGTTATCCCGGCCAGCCCACATAGCTTTCTCTCTCTTTCTTACATACAGTTCCAAAAGAAATTTTGTCAAGTCCTGAAATAAGTTAAGATATCTTCAAGTAAAACTGCTCTCGTATTGCTCCGAAAGGATGATGCCCCCCTAGCAGGGGAGTTAAATGGACTTTACAAGAAAGGTCACAACTAGGTCAAACTAGAAGGAACAGTCTATTCTAAATCATACAACAGAAATACAGTTTCAGTTTAGTCTAATTATTGTTTGTAGATATGCATAGCATTGCTCTTTAATGTGATACTACAAACCTACAGTATTTATACTAAGAAATACTTTAAGCTAAGTTAAGGGCAGAGATAAAATACACAAAATAATTTAGTTCTGTATTCATTAAAAACAGATGGCAACTGCCCCAACCTATAACCCTTTAGATTGTAAGCTCCATGAGCAGGGCCCTCCTATTCCTTCTGTACTGAAATTTATTGTAATTGTACTGTCTCTCTTATATTGTAAAGCACTGCGCAAACTGTTGGCGCTATATAAATCCTGTATAATAATATTAATAATAATAACTGGCCTTTGTAGCAAGGAGCACATGGAAGGGTGAGGCATGTCAAAGAACAAGAAAGACAAATTCCCAGCTCAACTTACCAACCAGCCTGCAACCAACAGAATTATTTGGTTATTATAGTTGACGTTAAAAAGAGGGGTTTAGTTTGCACACAATTGCAAATACATGCATAAGCTGCAGAGCTTCTTCACAGCACCCTATTATCTGCAGTTCCTAACTAAAATTTGAGAGCCCCCATAGTAGAAGCACATGTATAATAATGGATAGATAGCGGGGTGCACCGGACACCTTTGCTGCCATTGTGCTATATGA